GCCGCCTCCGCCGCGCGCTCCGCCGCCGCCAGCCGCTCCTGCAGCGCCGCCAGCGCGCCCGCCGGCGGCGCGGCGACGCCGGCGCCGCCCTGCCGGGCCGGGGAGCAGCTGCCGGCGGCGGCTGTCGCAGCAGCGGAAGCCAGAGGGACTGAGGGGTCGCTCAGGGCCTCCCTTAGGGCGGCGAGCTCGTTTTGCAGGGACGCCTTGTCCCGCCCCGCGCGCTCGCAGGCCGCGCGCAGATCGCAGGCCTGGAAGAGGGGGGTAGGGGGCAGAGGGCGTGAGCGCGGCCCGCGCGGCGAGCGCCGCGGCCGATTCCGCAGGCTGTCTTGTCACGTATTGGCTGCCTTTCCGGCCGCCCGAGAGCAGCTGCAAAGCAGCTGCGTCACAAGCAAGCCTCGTTCAAAGCAAAGTCGCAGCAGAGCGGGCAGCAGGTGGGAAGGGCAGTGAGATGCGCGTGCGGCTGCGGCGCAGCACCTGCTTCGACGCCTCCTCAAGCGCCGCCTCCGCCTCCGCCGCCCGTCTCTCCAGCGCATCCGCGCGTCGTCGCGCCTCGGCCGCGCCGCCGCCCTCGCCCAGCTGGCGCGTCGCGTCCGCCAGCCGCTGAGTCAGCGTGGCAATCTCGCGCTCCCTGGGGACGCGCGGCGGCCGTCGGGGTTCCCGGGGATCAGGGTTTTGGGATTGCCGAGGCTCAGGTTTTGGCGTTTTCCAGACCCAACAACGGTATCCCACAGGCGTGGCCAGCCGCGCTATACTACCAAAACCAAAGCGCTCGTCCCCCGCATGAACCTCTCACACACGTGCACAGGCTCGTGTGCCAAGCATCCCTGCAGGTAACCCCGCCCCCCAACCCCCAAGAGAGTGCCTTGCCCTCCCAAAACCTACTTAGTTATATTGCACGCGATTCGCACACCCCTGCCACCCTCGCCTGAAGCCCGCCACGCTCTCCTCCCCCAGGCCCCTTTCAAGCCGTCTGCGCTTGGACCCCGAAACCCGCGCTCGGGGCCTCTCCGCCCCCAGCCCCTCCCGCCCCGGCCCCCACCTGCCGTCTGCCGCGCTGAGCGCCGCGTCCCGCTCCAGCCGCGCCTCCTCAGCCAACTCCATGGCCTCGCGAATACGGCTGTAAACCTGAAACCGGGGTCGGGCGGTCGATGCGGCGTGCGCTTTGTCGACACGGGACACGACGCGACCATGCTAGCAGGACCCAATCATGCTGACAGGTGTAACTTAAGGGAGCGGCTTTTGAAAAGACATCGCAGGGGAGGGGGGGACGCGTCTTGTCCCCCTCCCCCCATGCAACACAGATTCTTGATGGGCACCTCCCAATGCACATACAGCAAGGTCATGCGCCGGACGAAAGGATTGCGACAAACCAATCGGGACTGAAGCAGATGCAACAGCAGCAGCAGCAGCAGCAGCAGCAGCAGCAGCAGCAGCAGCAGCAGCAGCAGCGGCGGCAGCAGCAGCGATGGCAGCAGCAGCAGCAGCAGCAGCGATGGCAGCAGCAGCAGCAGCGCGCACCTCCGCGTCCCGCCGTTGGTACTCCGCAAGCCGCGCCTCAACGCCCCTCAGCGCCCCACGCAGCGCGCCGCAGTCCGCCCGCGCGGCCTCCGCCGCCGCCGAGGACGCGTCCCGCGCCTCCCGCAGCCGGCCGCACTCCGCCTGCCGTCCATCCCAAAGCGGTGGCGAGGGCACAATGGGATTCTCATCCTGGCGGCACGTGCCTGCTGTCCAGGACTGCGCCTGGTCGCAGGTGCAATGCAGCCACGCTTCGGCTTGCGGACAAAGGAGCCAGTTTCAAAAGATAGAGATATTCGAAACACAATTTCAATCAAGCTTACCTGCAGCAAGGCAACCTTCCCTGCCTCCTCCTGCGCCGCCGCCACCCGCGCCGCCGCGCCGCGCGCCTCGTCCGCGGCGAGCTCCGCCGCGCGCGCCGCCGCGTCGGCGCGCGTTCGCTCGCGGCCGGCGGCGGCAGCCGCATCCGACGCGTCCTGCTCCAGCGACTGCGCGTGACACACGGTCAAACCCACCCTCAAAGCATTACGCGGCGGCTCGCGTGCAGCCGTTTGTGTTTGCAATCTCTCCGCCTTGATGCATCATGCGCCTCTAACCTCAAAACCGGCTCACCTGTTCAAACCAGCTGTCACTCGACCGCGACCAAGGCCCCAGCCACACGCTTTCTCCCACACTCACGCCAGACCCGCCCGCCCGCATCGGCCTGGAACCCGCCCCCACCTTGCACCTCCCCCTGCTGGCCTTCAAAGCCGCCTGCAGCTTAGCCAGGTCTCGCTCGACGCGCTCCATGCGCACGAGCTCCACCCGCGCTGCCGCCAGCTCCTGCGCGCCGACCGCGTGGAGCACGAGAGCCTGCAAGAGGGGCGGTCGCGGGGACGGGGGTGAGGAGGCGGGCGGCGCAGGCGGGGGTGCCGTGGGGTGGGTTCAGGTGTGGGGCCAACGGCGTTGAGCGGGAGTACTGCGTACGGGCCCCAGGGACGTCCCTAGACCTGCGGATCCGACACCCAGGAATCTTTTGCAGCATGGCCCCCAGATACTCTAACATCAACACATGTTGGGCACTCAGCACCCACCCCCCACTCCCCCCATCAAAACACGTGCGCACACGTACACACACACACACATACACACACGCGCGCACGTGCGCGCTCGCTTGCACGCACACGCACCCACAAACATACACACACATACAGACACGCACATACACACACATATACACACACATGCACACACACACACACGCACACACACATACACACACACGCACGACACCACACACACCTGGTTCAGCCGCGCCACCTCCCCGTCCAGCTCCCCCTGCTGAGCCACTAGCAGGTCGTTCTCCTGCTCTAGGAGGTCAAGGCGCTCCTTTTTGATATATTTTTTGGAGGGTGGGAGAAAGGGGGACATTTGAGGGCAGATGTTTAGGGTGCATGCTGCGGGTGGATGTCGGGGGTTGGATATGAGTGCGGTTGTGAATTGATGCGTTTGAGTTTGTGTGGGGGCGTGCGCGCGTGCATACGGTTTTAGACAAGAAAAGAAAGAAACAGACAGGGAGAAAGATCGCCAGCTTGAGAGCAAGCGTGAGAGCGAGGGAGCGTGCGCGCGTGCGCGTGTGCGTGTGGTCAAAGCCTTTTGCACACTCGCAGCGCCCCAGCCGCGATGCACCGCCTCGGCCGCCGCCCGCGCACCTCCACCCCGACCCCGCGCGCCCCGCACCTGCAGCCGCGCGCGCTCCGCGTCCGCCCCCTGCCCCGCGACCATGCCGGCCGCCGCCGCCAGGGCGCGGCCCTGCAGCTGGTCGGCCGCGCGCCGCGCATCAGCATGGAGCCGCTCGTTTTCATCCACCAAGGCGCGCACCTGCCAGGCGCGCGCGCGCGCGCACTTGCGTCGTGAACGCGTGATGACACACAGAGCGATGGCAAACGCAGCCGCGAGAGCACGTGGCCAACGTCGGCGATTCAGTGTGTGCGATACGATACAGGGAAGGCACACATGCATACATCCCGCAATCAGTTGATCCCCCAGCACCTGATGCTGTTCTAAACCATGAGGAGGCACCCGAGAAGGGAGCCAGCTGGGTCGCAGCCCGCCGCACGCCGCCGGGGTTGGCCCGCCGGCCAGCGCCTGCCCGGGGGCCCCGTCCAGATCCGCACCTGCCCCTCGATCGCCCGGACCGCCTCCGCCTTTGCCGCCGCGTCCTCCTCCAGGCTGCGCACCCGTTGGTCATAGGCGGCCAGCAGCGGGTTCAAGAACCCGGGGTCCCGCATCCACGGCGGCAGCGGCGGCGCGGACGCCGCCGCGGCGGGC